AGTTAGAAAAAATATTCACCATATATTAGAAAATTTTGTATAATATATATTCCAGGATAGATATGAGCTTCAACCAGGCCAATTTGTAGTGCCGTTGTTTGTCATTAGTGGCGAAAATTGTGAGATGCATACCCCAAAATATTAACATTATTTTCTGCAATGTCCATCACATTGCACACTCTCATATACTCATATTTTCTGTACTCTTTGAAAGTAAATGCATTATTTCTGAATGGTTAATAATTCTCTTATATCATTAATGTACTTTGTAGATATTATCTGAATGTTCTTGCATTACAGTTAGTTGTGGTTATGTTTGGTATCACTTCTGTTACTTCTTCATGAATGAGCTAGGTTGCTGGATAACAGGACACCTCTTCAGGTGTTCAAGTGCATACATACAAGTTGCTACTGGTTTTCTATTGCTGATGAAGCTATGAGGATAGTTTCATGAGCTTGACAGGGTACAATGGAGATTTCTTTCTTTTTTTCTCTCTCTCTGTTTTTCATTCTTTCTTATGTTCTGTCTCTTTTCTGCTTATGTAATGCAGTGATCCTGGGGTTTATGACAGTTAGTTATTACTGTGTATGGTGGCATGATAATCACAAGTTCATTCATTACTGTATTTCTATTGATGAAAATGATGAAAATGATATCCACAAAATGTTCATACTGCACAGTAGGGTTCAGTTATCAGTTTATCTAGCAAATATATTTACAGCCTCCTCAGTGGGAGGATTATGGAGATGATCTGCATCATCATTAAGGATATTACCATGAGGAGTACTTGTATCATCCATCTGTGTCAATGGGAAATACTTCATACTCAATCACATTAGGGAGATGTGCTGACTTCCTTAGTGCAGTAACATCAATCATGTTTACATTTCATTATCAGCTAGGCAAGGTTTGCTGTGTAACATATCACCTTTGGCTGCATAGCAAACACAGTATATTTCATAGCATGTATGATATATCTGCATCAAGTACCATTTATTTAAGGAGGAGGATGTGTTGCTGAGGGCTATGGAAATGGTTAGCACGTTTGAAGTGTCAGATGAGTGATGGACCAATGCTATCATTTGTTAAGGTGTTGTGGCTTGTCATGCTTCTTGACTAATAGTAATGTCAAGCATGCCATCTACGGTATTGACATGGGAAGAGATTGCGCAGTTTCTAAATGCGTATAGATTGTAATTTCACTGATTGGCAGTAGTATATCATACACATTATAACATCTATTAGAGCAATGTATTTGTACAGATTAGGACAAGGCTTGTCATAAAGATTACAACAGGATGAATTTATACACATTATATCTTATTCACACCAGATTGTATTCTTTATTTTAACAGATTATAACTTTATCAAGATTACTCTCCCTCTCACTCAGACCCAAAGATATTAATCCAGTACATTCATGTCTCCTACAGAACTCAAGATCCAGAGCGTGACTCACGACAGCATTGAGGACGCCAGGACTGCCCTGGCACTGTATCAGAAATACTGCCAGTTAAAGGCCAGCGGAGACTTGGTGATGGAACTGCAGAATCTCTATGAAGCGGGGAAGAAAGCGCAGTGGAAGGTCCCCGGGGAAGAGGAGGAGGAGTGAGTGGGGTCTCGCTTTCCTCTCGCACTCCAAGAGGTGTCAGAACCACGCCACTGTGATCTCTGAAAGTTGATAAATGCCGATGATGCAAAAAATTTTAAATGTACAAAGTTGTAGGGTTGCAATAACTTGCTGAGGTGGGATGTTCAGAGCTAATGATTTTAATTTTTTATTTATTATTATTTTTTTTATATATAAGAAATTTTTAAGGTTTTGGTTCCCTGGATATGTCTGCAAACTACCCGGCACAGAGAATGGATTTAGCCCAGTTGTCGACGAATGATATACCTCACTGATCTCAAGTTGCAAGTTACAAGTGATATGATAACAATACTCTCTCTCTCTTTCTCTCTCCTTTTTTATTGATATATTTCAGAATTGGATACTCTGTCATTTTGATTATAAAAAAAAAGAGAAAAAAAAAACTTTGTTAAAAAAAAGGAAAATAAAAAGGAAAATTGAATTTAAAATCTTTCAACTTTCGGAAGATCTAATTCAAAATCTTTCAGCCGTCTGTTGGAACAGATAATTCACTCTCTGTGATGTTTTTGCACTTCTTTTCGTGAAACAAAGACAATAGATAAGATTTAGAAGTATTGAACACTCATACCTATTTTTTTATGATATTTTTTTGCTGCCATACCATTTTGAAAAGAGTTACAGGTGTATTTAACTCATGTTTTAACAAAAGCGTCTGCGAATATGTACGTTTTTTTTTGTTTTTTTTAATATAGTGTTTTCTTTTTGTTATGTTTTTAAAAATCATCATAACCGATTTTTCATATATATTTTTATAGAAAAGAAATGTTATCACGGCATTATGTACTTGAAGTTGTGTAATATAGGAGGTTATGGTTTTATAATATTTGAATAAAAGGTAGGGCTTTAAA